GGAAAGGGAACCTCGAGTTGCCGCAGTGGTGCAGGCGTATGGAAGGCTCTGGGCTCAATGGAATTGTGGGGGGCGATTGGGAAGGATAAAAGTAGCAGAGAAGAGGAAAGAGGAAGAAGATAAAGAGAAGGTAGAAGGAAGGGAAGAGGAAAATATTATTTGCTTTTTGTTAAATAAACTATATAAAGTGGAAATGAAAGAATAATTAAAGAGTTAAACGTCAATGTAGCTCTTTTCCTTCAAAAAGAAGTTTTATGGTTGTGGCTGATGGAGACACAGTTGGTCCAAAAGCAGACAACAATTGATCATGGAGTACCCAGTTCCAACTGATATCCACAAAACAATCCCTGTGTCTAAGGCTCAGGGAATGCATGGAAGAAGGAGCAGAGAGATTGTAAGAGCCAGAGGATCAGTGCACCTGATGTGAGATAGTGTCTTGTATATATCTCAGAAGCTGCAGCCATGAAATCTCAGCAGTCTTTACAATGACACTACAAAGTAACACGCCAACCTGCATGGAGAAGTCATATGTGGTTCCACCCCTAGGAGCTATAGTCAACCAATGGCTGCTGAGAGAGATCATCAGCCTTTCCCAGGAATGAATCTCCTAATTGGTTATCCAATACCAAGCAGTCGGATCTAAAATATACATATACATGCAATACTAAATTGAAAATGGATAGCAAAATGCAGTGTTTTATATTTGAAATGTTGGTCTTTCAGGTTTGGAATTGAAGAATACAGAAGGGTCGTGTCAGTCATATCTCAGAATGAATCCTTTGTAACATAGAGTTCTGACATTTTAAAGAAGCAACTGATTTGCATATTGGAAGTAGTAACATTTATTTTTCAAAGAATAGAGGAAGGAAAACCTTAAAATGAAAAGGACCTTAATTGGCTATCAAATTAAAACTAATATCATGTAGATAGAAACTCAGAATGTTTGAACACAGTATTTTGACTGCACATTCCAAGCAGAGCAAAGTGTAGCGCAGAGAAATGAAAATGTTCTGTTAGTAGGCCCACTAATTGCTGGTGGGTTGGTACATTTTGGGATTGTGCAAATGGACAGACAGATGGATGCAGAAAATCCGGGGTACTCTCTGTTGGAATATGTGTGCAGAAGTATCGGGAAGTATGTGTTTCAGTCAGGATTGGCTCACGATTTAAAACAGGTGAATTATAGTCCCCAGCTCTGTCTTCACGGATCAGTTAGTGACATTGCTGCTCCATTGAATGTACCAAACTGTCATCGAGCCCAAAGACTGCTCCCTAAAGAAGCAAGTAGAAATCTTTAGATAAGTGATGGCCTCTGGAGCAGGAACATTACAGACAGTCTGGGGCATTGCAGCATGCCAGAAAAGAGGAGGACTAACAAGGACATATCATAAGGACCAAAGGGGATGTGGCTCACAGGTTGAGAACCACTGCACTAGACTTTCTTGATGGCCTGGGTTGTGTCATTTTAAGGTAATGTCAACTTTCTTAGATGTTGCATAATAATATTGTGGATTTATATGAGAATATCTTTACTTTCAGCTATGCACACAGAAGAACTAATAGGTTAAATACCATAATTTATTTTATAATATAATATTTTTATTAACTTTTTGAGAATTTGATACATTCATGCACCATATTTTGACCATACTCATCCATGACCCCACCCCAACTCCCAACTCCTCTCAGATCTACCCCACCCGTTTTCATACCTCTCCGACTCCATGTCATATAGCTTGCACCTCCTAGGACTGCCTCTGTTACATTTCCGTACACTTAGCTGTAGGTTGGCTAAAGGTGGATGATGATCATGAAGAGCTGATATATTTGTAGAACACAGCAAAGTAAAAGTCCACTCAATTTTTTTAAAAAAAAAAAATCAACAGTTGTTTTCCTGATAAAGCCCAGTGTCTCAGGGACCAGGAGCTGCTCTCTGGCAATTATTCCATGGACCCTCAAAGGTACTGGGGCGCTAAAATGACTGATCTTGAACTCTTCCACCTCAAAACTTTTGAGGGCAGGTGAGAGCAACACAGAGTCAGCGAGCCCAGTCTAGGAGGCTGCTCTCTGGCTCCTGGAGGGGAGGTTCAGGCAAGCATCCCTCAAGGGCTCCCACCTCCATGTCTTCTCACTGTGAATGAGCTTCCAGGAAAAGGAGCCAATGCTTTCACCCTCTATGGAGAAGGCAATCTGGCCCTAGCCTTCAAGGATTGTCCACAGCAATCTTGATGCATGCCTTAGTCCTAGCTACTCAAGAGGCTGAGGCTGGAGGATGGCTTCAGCCAAGAATTTAAGAGTAGCCTGAGGAACATATTGAGACAACACATTAACAAACAAAAACAAATACAAACTGCCAAAGAGTCTCCACACCCCGCTGGGACCTTCCAGGAGATTATGAGCTATGGCCTCAGAAGAGCTACAGACCAAGGAAGGGTGTCTTATGTGCTGGTGTCTTTAATATGATAATGTCCACACATCTCCCGAAGCAGGAATTGATGTTTTATTAATGATGTTTACTATAAATTTAATTTCAAAGCACTGCTGTTCCCACATTATTTTGATAAAGGCTTTGTGGTGTGTTTATTTTTCTCCTGGTGGTAAAAATGAGAACGAGAGAGGACACGACAGAGTTTAAAGGTAGGACTTAGGACTTGCTGTTGCAGATGGAGGTCATTCTCATAGTGCAGCTCAAAGGGGCCTAGGAAACACAGAGAAACTTCCCTCTGAGGTGCTCCTTGGCTCTATCATGATGATTTGTACACAAAGGCTCCTCCCTGCCAGCACCAGACGACAGCCTCAGAATAGCAATCACCGACCACTCTCTGCTCACAACCCCGCTTCTCCCATCAAGACCCAGGTATACTGCCAATCCTTCAAGACCCTCAGTAGACTTTCCACAACGGGGACAATGGTTGGTAAGAGCACGGAGACAAATCCCACAACATCTGGTTGGCTGAGGTGTTTTGTACCAGAGGCTTCCTGCTCAGGACTTTTTTTTTTTTTTTTCTGTGACTTACTGCAAATGTAATAGGTAGCTATGCTTATTGAGAGCCTGGAACTGGGTCTTGGGCCATTTTTTTTATCTTCCATCCCCCTCTAATATTCATAATCAATTACAAGGTAGTATTAATATCAAGTTCATTTTATAATTGAGAAAACCAGTGTACTTAGAGCTTAAAGAGGATGCCCCAGGCATACTGGACTGGAGAGTCTGCCTTCTCAAAGAGTGTTGTTCTCTCTGTTGGAGATAGGGACTCTGAGTGTTTGAATAAAAAATGGAATCAGATCTAGGACAAGCTGCAGCTGCCTCCCCTGGCATGGAACATCTGTGATACATAACAAACCCTGGAGCGCTCTCTTCGGACCTGCCGGAAGTTGTAACAGGGCTTCCTCCACTTTGCTGGCCTACTTGTCATCCCTACCTAAACTCTCTTCAATCGCTTGTACACAAATCTACATTGAACCCGATTCTAGAGAACTTAATAGGGCTGGTAATTAGCCAGGCTAAGGGGAAAACCAAAATAATCGCAGAGTGAAGTGCTTCTTAGGTATGTCTTAGAAATCACAAATTCTGTCATACAGAAGATGGCTACTGTTTGGAATTCCATGTAGACTGTACTGCAATCCTTGGGATGAAACAACCAAGACACTTGAGGCAAAGATAACTTAAGGAGAAAGTAAAATTTAAGTAAAGTTTTGGAATAGTAGTAGAGGAACTTGTCCTGCAGACATGAAGGGAGATGTCAGTCTAAACAGAAGGACAAGCATTGCCATGACAGAGAGGAAGAGAGTTATATTCTCTATTTAAAAAGGCTCCACAATCTAGTATCTTCAAGGTAGGAGACACATTCCAAGAAGCAGTGCAAGAGGCAGAATCCATAGAACCTTGTAGGGTTGGGGAGGTATGGTGAGGTGAGGGGAGATGGGCAGGGTGGGGGAGGGGAAGGGTGGAGTGGGATAGGGTGGTGAGGTGGGAAGGCAAGGTGGGATGGGATAGAAGGGATGGGGTGGATGGGGAGTGTGATGGGGCAGGGGTGAGGGGAGGAGGAGGGATGGGTGGGTGGGAGGTGTGGAGGTGTGGGAAGAAATTTCTAGGTTGATCTTCTCTCTCTCTCGCTCGCTCTTGCTCTCTCTCTCTCTCCCAGGTGTACTTCGTTGAAACAAGGAACACGAGAAAATAAGTCAGCCTGGAAGAGAACAAGAGCTCATTCTGCAGTACATGGTATCTGAGATGCCTGCTGGACATCCAGGTGGATAATCATCTTTGTGCATTCAATGTGCACATTAAGCCTTAAGCTATTCTATTTTATTTTTTTAAAAATATGTGCAGAATCAATTTGTTTGGTTTTCATTCTCAACAAGCTTAAACAATAAAATAACTACCCTTTCCAGGAGGCATCTGAAGAGTTAAATCTTGGGTAGGAAGAGCGATAGAACCTGAGGGGGAGATGGGGGAGACACGGGGTTACCACAAGCACATACTTATGGCAGAGCTGACACTGCTCCCGGCAACATAGCCACTCTGGAATCATACTACGCACAGTCCGCTTCTTGGGAGAGCTTGAGAACAGTGGGAGGATGGAAGATGGAGGACAGGGTTAAGGAGTTCGATCCATCAGTAAATTGCTTCCTGTGTAAGACCGAGGACCTGAGTTCAGAGTCCCAGCATCCAAATAAAAAAATGTGTATGGCAGAGTCAGACTGCATTCCTTGTGGTGTGAGTGCTGAGGTAGGAAGGTCTTTGAGGCTGGATGATTAGCCTGTTTAGCTACGAGCATCAATCCCCAAAGAGAGACCATGTCTCAAAAAGTCAGATGGAAAAAAATAGAGAAGACACTTGCACCACTGAGCTGTAGCCTCCACATGAATGCTCACGCATGTATAGACACACACACACACATACACACACACACACACGCACCATACCACTTACTGGTATGACCCCTGAGCACACTCCACCTTCTCTGTTCCCATAAACTGGCTCATCATCCCTCACTCACCATCCTCCTCGGTCTGTACCACCAGCTCCTCACTCTCCATCCGGCCCTCAGGGTTGGAGAGCAGTAGGCGCAGTCTGATGGTCATGAAGGGCCGCAGACCCCGCAGGGTGTAGTGGGAAGAGGTCTGGATCACCTCCTCAGCCTCGTACTGCTGCTGGTTGAACACGTACTGGTACTGCACCGTAAGGTTGTAGCTGTGGCAGCGGGTCACTGCGTAGCCAAAGGGCTCCCACTGCAGGGTCAGCTGCCTGGCCCGAATGTCCACAATCTCCACATTCTGAGGGCCGTGCACGGGATCTGGAAAAGACACACAAGATACGTGAGTTTTGAGGAGACTGCAGGAAGTGGGTGGACACAGATCTAAGACAAAACAAAATAAATAGGGTGAAAAATTTTTATTTCCTTCACAATGAAATATGCCAGTCACAAAAATATAAAATTAGGGCTTCATCTGAGTTCCACTGACAACTGTCGGGTGACAACACTCGGGTGCTCCCAAGTGCACCCACTTCTGCCATTCGCTGATTTAGATGACTAGTGGAGTTCTGTGTTTAACTCAGCTGAGGCGTCTCTCCATCCAGCTGCACAATTTGGAACTTTGGTTACACCACAGACAGACCTTCAACCTCCAATCCATCTTTATGACCACAATGCCACAAGAACTTGGCCTTTGAATTCACCTTCCTGCTCTCACTTATGATAGGGACGGATCATTTGCTAGCATCCTGCCACACTTCACTCTTCTTCCTGTCCCGTCATGTCCCCCATGAACACCATTCTACTAGTCCCCAGTACCTCACCTCCCTTTACACACTCATCTTTGTCCCAGATCCCATATATAACAATGACCATGTCATAGTTCATAATCCATGCACTGATATTTATACCTTGCAAGAGATAAAGAGATGATTTTTGCACAAAGCTAATTAAAACAGACAAGAATAGTGAAGGTAGGGGTCTGGTCAGCATTTAGCCCCATACTACTTCCAGGCCATTATCAAGTTGTGCCATGTCTTTGAGTCTACTTTTTACTTCATTTGTAAATTAGTGATAATAGAAGCTAGTCCCACTGCAGGAGAGGGTGGAGCCAGATAAAATACTCTGAGCCATTAGAGTTGCTCCTGGAATTAATAAGCACACCATATAGACTAGCTGAAGCTTTATTTTTATAGTAATAGGAAGAGTAATAAGAATAATAATCATCTTTCATATGCCATACAGAACCTGAATGACTCATAAATGCCAGTTGTGGGTAGCACCATCATGTAGGGCAACAGACTAGGATATGGTCACCACTCCAGTCCTCGAGTTCCCAGAGCCTTTGGAGTGCAGCTGCCTCTGCACCACAAGAAAGGCTATGGTGGGGACTCTTGATACCAACTTAGGTCCCTAATTCACCCCTATGGGAGAAGTGTAGCTTATAATGGAGCTTTGTCAAGGCACACACTTCACCAGTGTGTCAGAGAGGAGGGTAGTCCATCCCATAGATGTGCATACTACTTAAATCAGTAGCTTTGGCCTCTCCTGGGCTGAGGAATTCACACCTCATTCTTCAGCCTGGTTATCCATGCTACAGGGTCCTTTGTGCAAAAGAGAGTCAGAGTCCCAAAAGCAAATGAGTGACTTGGTGAAAGGGACCGCGGACGAGATGCTCAGGGCCCAGTATGCTGAACCTATGTGGAATGAAAGATAAAAGATGTGGGACTCACAGTTAGGGGCTGTGAGCAGGCATGGCTATGAATGCTTGGCTGGGTGTCTCTCTGTGGTCCAGTCTGCAGTGACTACAGATACGTGGGAAGAGTGATAGATGGAACGTCCTGCCTGGGAAGTGTCAGCAACCCCTCCAGCTTTCGTCCAGCAAGAATTGTTCTATCTGCACACATTCCAGAACTCTGCCGGTATACACCCTGAAGTAACATTCTCAAACGCTCCTTCTCAGGGACCTTCTTCAAAACCGACACTGAACCCCAGGAGGACAGTTACCTCATGGGGCCCTCTAGTCCCTCATTAGGAAGTAAGAGCACAGATATTTAAGACTCGGTTAAGGATAAGGACATAGTTTTGTTACACATCTTAAATACTACAATATTCCATGTCAAAGACAGTTTTTGAGATGTTTAGTATGGTCTACAAGTACAAATAAAGTATCAACAATGGAACAGCATCCAGAAAGTGTTTGTTCTATTTTCTGTATTATGACGCTAGGAGGAAGGGATTGCCAACTCACTTGACAAATGAACAAATCAAAGCCTGGAGAGGTAACAGAACTTGGACAAAGTAACAGATGAGGCTTTGAATTTGAATCTGTCTGACCTCATGTCTAGTGTACAAGGGAGGTAAAAAGTGGGCCAGACCACCACAGCCATGGAAGGGGTCTGTGCTGGACTTGATCAACCTCACAACTCTTGAGGAGGCATCAGAAGACCTACTCTAGCAGAAACCAAAGTGCTGAGAGATGAGACTCATGTCCTCAGGCCACACAGCGAGAAACAGGGCTGAGATTTACAGTCTGAGAAAGTCCCAATCCTGTGATTTTTCTCTACGTGGCCCCACTGGAGACAGGTCAGAATAGGAGCGTAAACATGAGGCAGGCCACAGCCATTGGGAATTTGGAAGAGACCTAGAGGAAAGCTAGGGAAAAACAAAAATTGTAACACAAAAATTGCTTTGTCCTTAAGAGCCTGGAACCTGCCACCAGCGGGGTCAATGCTGGGACTCAATGCTAAGCTTTACACGGGCCTGTCTCCAACTCCCACCCTAGTTTTCCACACCCAACTGTACTGATGTACGTATAAACACTTTCCTGACTTTCTGTGAGGGACCTATCTTAAAGCCTTCCTTCCCTTTATTCATGGGGTTCAAGGGTAGTGGCAAGCCTGTCACGCAACAAAGAGCTTCCCTCTGGTTTAGGAATTTGGGGGCACAGGTGTAGACCCTGGTTCTCCGGAGAACACATGGTTGAGCTGGAACATAGCTGGAAGCCAGAGTCTGGCACACAATAGCTAAGTGACCTTGGCCAAGGGCACTCCATCTTTGTGCCTCCATCTCCTCATCTATAACATGGAAATTACTGCACTAATCTCAGAGGGCTGCTAATGAGCATAAAATGAACTGTAAAGAGAGAAAATTGCCTTTCCCTAACAGTGGGGCTTCCTCTTACACAGAACTGCCTCTCTTGGAGAAATGCCCAAAGAAGGCTTTAAAAGTTCTTCTTTATTCTTGAGCATTTCATACATGTATACAATAATATACCACATCTATTCCCATTTTTCCCTCCAACTTGCCCCATGTTCCCCCAACACAACCCCTTCCAGACTTCACATTGTTTTGTTATTGTTTATAGCCCACTAAGTCCAGTCATTGCTACCCACATGTACAGGAGTGTTTTAAGAATAGGAGCTGCATTCCCAGGGCCTTGCTTACATCCCTACTAAAGCCTTCATGGAAAGACAAACACCAAGGTCTGAGGGGGTGGATAAATTAGAACAGGTAGGGGGTGGATAAATTAGAACAGGTAGGGAAGTAAGTAAATGTAGAATGTTGGGAGGACCCACAAATATGACCGCTTTCTATGTGACTCCTCTTCAGATGTCACAAAAATATTTACTATGACTAGACTCCAGACAGAACTGAGACATGCATGCACACTTTGGCTAGAAAGGATTCTCCACAGCATCACCAGGAAAAGGGGACTCAGAACACATTCATTGACGAAAGAGATTTTGGGAGATGATTTTGGAGGTTCCCCCTGCCTATGGAAATTAAGAGATTCCAGGAAATCTCAGTTCAAAGGCAATAAGTTGGGGCTCTAGTGGCCTCCTAGGTAAGCTAAATGCAGTTGAAAGTGTCTTGTGACCGTGGTTATTCACATTCTTGAAAGCAGAGGCGTTGGTATGAGGCAGGAGCTCTGGACTAGGTAGAGCTTCAGCATCTGCCTTTAGGAAACAACCCTGTGGTCTATGTCCCTGAGGCTTCATGGCGGCACACAGCCCTAGCTCCATGCACCACTGTCCATCATAATTAGCACTTGTCACACTGCCCAGGAACTGCTTGTTTATACATTTGTCTCCCAGATTGCCAACGACTATTTTCTGTTTGTCTAGCATCTCTGGGATCTGTCGAGCGGACTTCCTAGGAGATGACCAGATGGTGGTTTGTTCTAGGAAACTGAGTTCCAATCGCTTGTTTCCACCCCTCCTCCTCTATTCACGCCAACACATCGGCAGGATCTCCGAGGCACGCATTTCTTTTTTCGCTTTGTTTTCAACCAAGAGGAGATCCTGAAATCCTACACGTGAAAAACTAGTTTTCAGGATGTGTGATGGGAACACTCGTGCTTTCAGTGTGATGACCCCCACCTCCCAAATAGCTCCACCTGCCAAACTGAGATGCTGCTCCAGTAATTGCCTTCCATGGTCAACGTCCTGGGTTTATATTTGGGTCGGTGCAAACAAGTTGAAATTGCTGAGAAAGTCTTGTGTGTGCAGTAGAGATTGGTTTGTTGAATTTCTATCCCCCGTGTAAATACATCCAAGCCTACAGCCTCTGGTCTCTGCTTCCAGATAAGGTCCTGTTCATGTGACCTTCTTCAGTACCGGCCTACAGGTCAAGAAGCCAGCAGACAGGGCACAGAGCTGCTGGCTCATGTGAGCCTCTGAAAGTTATTCTTTCCTGGAAAATAGAAGTGGCTCTCATCCCAACCTTCGCAGTGCAGCCATGGACCTTGTTCTGACTCCCATACTGGATCCTGTCAGACTGACTTCTTCCCAGGACAAGGGCTCAGCAGTGAGTGCACTGTGCCCACCTGTCCCCCGATCTCCCTTCTGAACATGCTTCACATCACTGAAACCCTAAGATTTTCTGTCTCCATAGCTCCAAACTCATTTCAGGTCCTGTGAGGCCTACTTTCCTTAGTTTTCCCTTCTTGTAAGCAAAGATTTGCTGAGAAGAGGAGCAGCGAGAGCTTGAATTTGAGGCCTGAGGTCTCCTCACATATTTGCACAAGTCCTTTGTGAGAGAAACAGAGTTGGGTCAAAGGAGAATGGAAACTGGCCACAGGCTTCCATTTGTCCTTTTATTTCCGGGTCATTAAGGATTTTGCATGTGCTAGGTACAGGCATGTGTGTGTGTGTGTCCCTAACATTTTAAGAAACCATTGCCACTTCCAAAAAGAAGCTTAGCTTCTTTACTGGGACCTTCCTACCCCAATTCTCTCTGCCTCTCTTTCTACTATTCATATATCAAACCCTAGACTTCTAAAGAGGGATATGGTATACAAGTCCTTTGACATCCCTTGC